ACGGAGCCGTTCAAATGCTCCTATCACTACGAGGTCGGCACGGAAATCGGGGAGACTTTGAGCAACGGAGCCGAACTCGCCGCCTCGATCCAGACCGAGCTCCGCGCCGGACTCTTCCGGATCTTCCAACGACGGATCGGCCCGTCCCGATCGACCGGCTACGACTGGAACGCCTCGAGCGGCGAACTGGAGACCCGACCGACGACCGTCCGCGGCGAAGTGGAGGTCCCGCCCGGCGGATTCCTCGCCGTCCACCAGGTCGTCGGGCGATGCGGCGACAGCGTCCTGAGACTCCCGTATCTCCGCGTCACCGCGATCGGAGCCGGAGCCGGAGCCGGGGGGAACAGTACCGGCAGGATGGCGGGATTCCTGGGTGAGGTCGTTCCCGATTCCTTTCGTGTCGTCGAAGAGGGGAGAGACTGAAGGATTCGAGACGGAAGCCGGATGCCTTCACGGACGAAGCAATTTTCGAACCGAAATGAAAAATATATATGTAATTCATCGAAACGCAATGTTATTTATTAATCATGTATCTGTGAGATGATTTTTCGATGCTTTATTCAGAATGAAGCGCTTTGCCCTGGAAACGATGCTTCATCTGCATCATCTACTCCAAGCTTCAGCTTCTTCGCAGTCAAATGTGAAAGTTGTATATGTTCGAGCAACTCCCAAAATCGTAATGGAGAAACAAGTCGCTCTTTTTCATTAATTAGAAGCTGGAATGTGACACACAGTTGCACGAAAGAAAAACTGCGACCCCCCCCCCACCATCAGCTCAACTGCATTGGTCAGACCGGAACGATCATCCCGGTAATGGGTTACAATTGGCAACTTCAAATTTGAAACACCGTTATTTCTCAGGCACGTTATTCTCAGCACTCTTAATACGTTATTCTCATCCAAAGGAATTAGCAAAAACAATTTAATAATCCGATTCTAGTTAAATCCAGATAAATGCAATTCAGAAAAAAAACTAATAATTTGGAAGAGAACCAGCCCTTGCCATGACAGCGAGACTGTTTCCTTTTTGAAAGAACGATTCGAAAAAGTTTCGCTACATCAGAAGGGTTTAAAATAAAATTGCTGTCTCATGGAACAATGGGTGAAGTCAAATTAAAACAAAGTTTGGAATCCTTGCAAGTGATAAAAATTCCTTTTTTAATTTTTGGGGTGCAGAAATTTTGTTCATGTTGGATTCCCCTTCCACTGAGTGCCAAAGGGGTTCGAGTAAATTCCTGCAAAAAATGCTACAGAAATGCAAAAAAAAAGTTTCAAAATCTCTGTGGTGGTGGCAATACCACGCAGGGATGATTTCATCTCTTCAAAACAGTGTTTCACAGTTAGAAACAGTTAGAATGGTTCAGAAACCATTCCAGATCAGCACTCGCCGATCAATCTGTGTCAAAGTCATATGTACTGTGGGGGGGGGGGGAGGGGGAGGAGGGGGGGGGGGGGGGACCTCTTTTGGACTTATACTACGCGTCGCCATATTGATAACAACTTTCCAAAAAATCACTGAATCTTATTGAATCCCAGGAAAGCAATACCAACATATATCATTAGGATCAAGGGATATTTAATGCAATTTGGCTAGAAGGTCTGGGGTGCCCCTCGTATAAGCCATTTTCTACATTGCCAAAATTTGCCTACCGTGAAGCCGAATAGACATAACGTCCTGAAAAAGGACATAAGAAAGTGCAATCATCAGCTGTTATCTCACGTATATAAGAGTTGTAAGGCATCCAACGCAATTCGGTTCAAGCAAACCTTTATTATGGAACTCTATGGCGCCAACTTTTAGCTCAAATAGCATGAAAACGCGCCAAATTTGTAAACATCTACTTGCAAATCCGTAACACTAGCGACCTTCTCCGTCGCATAAACTTGGGATTTTGGAATCGATCTTGCCGTTTTTGAGATACTGAGATCAAGTACTAGTTAGTACTTGGTGCGGTACTTATAAGTATCATCATTAGTAGCAGATCAATTAGTATGCGTTTTCTTTCAGCCATCCTAAATCAAAGGGTACTGCGCCGCCTTCACGGACGAAACAATTTCGAACCGGGAAAAAAGATATATATGTAATTCATCGAAACGCATTGTAATTTATTAATCATGTATCTTTGAGATTATATTTCGATGCGTTATTTAGGATGAAGCGCTTTGCTCTGCGGACGATGCTTCATTTGAATCATCTTCTCCAAGCTTCAGTTTATTCGCAATCAAATGCGAAAGTTGCATATATTAGAACAGCTCCCAATATCCTAATGCAGTAACAAGTCGCTCTTTTTAATTAATTATAAGCTGAAATGTAACACACAGTTACAATAAAGAAAAACTGCGACAATCCCCCCCCCCCCATTATCTCAACTGCATTGGTCAGACCGGAACGATCATCCCGTTAACACGTTGGCGACAATGCGTCCTGATGCCAGGATGCAGATGGGACCATGCGTCCTGATGGCAGGACGCATTTTTTGACAAAAAAAAAATGCGCGTGGTCCCACGCGGCGGACAAGCAAAAATAGGCTGGTCGTCAACGTGTTAATGGGCTCAGATTGGCTCCTTCAAAATTGAAACACCGTTCTGCGTGCATGTCTCGATAGACCCTATTAATGACGCCATTCGCGGAGAACGAAGATATCATGATTTCCAAGATCATTCTCTCTCTTTTTTCCCCCATTTTTTTCTTCTCTCTTGACTTCGGAGATGATTTCTGGTGAAATATTCAAAGAAGCATTTCGAAGAGAAATAAACGGAACAGACGAACGCGCGGCTCCGGGGCATTCCGATTATTCCTCTTTTTTTTTCCCGGGGGAATTCGAATCTTCGCCGCTTTGAGGGCTCGAAAAGCCTGTCGGTGGGCGTGGCGGAGCCACCATTCACACCAAATGTTTGTGATGAGCCATCGTGGCTATTTGTGACTTTCGGTGCTAGATTCCCTGTTTCACAATACATTTTCCTTTTGAAGGCAATTCTCAGGCACACTTAAGGCAATTCTCAGGCATATCTAAGGTTATTCTCAGGCATATCTAAGGTTATTCTCAGGCATGCCTAAGGTTATTCTCAGGCATACCTAAGGTTATTCTCAGGCATACCTAAGGTTATTCTCAGGCATGCCTAAGGTTATTCTCAGGCATGCCTAAGGTTATTCTCAGGCATACCTAAGGTTATTCTCAGGCATACCTAAGGTGATTCTCAGGCATACCTAAGGTTATACTAAGACTTTCCTGTGACGGAGGCTGCCAGAATGCCACTGAAGCACACAGATAAAACGCGAGGGGAAGGAAAACCGTCGCATCTAACCTTCGCCTTTCAAAGAAAAGGAACGGAACCAGCTTGGCCGCGTCCGAAGAGAAGTGCGGGCAGCATTACTTCAAATGGTGGAATGGATTCGTTCCTGAATTTCCTTTCGATCGTCGATCGACGCCGGTTGGAAACTCTAAGAAAAACTCGAATGATTTTCTTCGTTGGTGCTGTTTTTGTGATGCAAAAATTTGAGAATGTATTTGGCGATTGCAGGCAAGGGTGGTTGGCCCACTATATCTGTATACGATCTGAGTTCTACTTTTAATTTTTAATTAGTGTTTAAATACGTAAATGCTGCGAGACCGTATTCACTCCGAAAGTAACCCATCACGAATGCATACAGTTCCTGCTTTGAACATTTCCATTGTCGTAACATTTTTGTAACCATTCAGGCACGTGATAATCTGCAGGAATATGGTTTTCCTGCGATGAAGAAATTTCGAAGCGGTTTAATTGGGAGAAAAAAAAAACAAGAGCAGACCCTAGCGTTCGAATTAGAAACGGAAAAAGTTTAGAACGAAGTTGTAAACTTTGCTGTCCATTGCCAATTTTTCAGACGAAGGCAAACCAGTTGAAACCGGTTGAGAGCGGTTCCTTGGTTGAACGGACTTCGGGGTTGCCTCGGAAAGTTGGCATGAAGCTTTCAATAGCGATCCCGTCTACGGATGAAGTCATCACCTTTGTCCCAACAAAAGCGTTTTTAAGGATCTGGGCGCCCTGACGACATTCGCTGAACCCCGATATTTTCATTTTTTTAAAATGCACATTGCCTTGAATTTCTGGAATAATGGGCTGAAAAATCCATCAATTTTCGTCTAGAAATGCTGCGAGCAACCGAGAAGTCCGCTCAACATCAACGAATCGGGCTGCGTTTTAGGTGAAAAGGCGGAAAACTTTGGAAATGACTCCCGAATCATCAGCCGACTAAGAGAAATAGTGAAAGCGGAGAGGTCTCGGCAAGTGGTAGTCATAAACGAAGTACGTGCAAAAGTCATTTTATACGAGCATATGGAACTACGATATCTGCGGCCGGATTATTTCTTGGATTCCGTTTCGTGGATAAAAAAATTATATTTTCGTAAACCCAAACGAGTCAAGGAGACGCACTTAAAACTCTTCGAATGAAGTCAGCGCACGCATTCGTCCGGGAGAACACGCTTCAACGCAGCTCCGTCCACTTTGAACATGCCTTTCTGGCTTTCCTCTTGCGGCGTGACGTCTCGGAGGGGATTATATAGTTTACTAGCTACCTTAAAATTGCATCTGAGGCTAAACCAGACGGAAAAAAACAAAACAATTTAAAGATAATTTATATTCCAGACAAGACGTCGCTGAATACTTCCTGGAACAAGCATGACTTAAAGCACTGATTCATTTCCTTATATACAAATTCCAGCAGCGCGTATTTTTTTTTTACGCACCTGGAATTTCTAGTGACAGGTCGGAACAGAAGCAGAAATAGACTGAACGTGACTCACTCTTCTCGGGAAGGCTCACGAAGACAAGTTCCATCGCTTTCTGATGGCAGGATGATAGCAAGAACACGCGATCATGGCACTCATATTACTCGTTACCAGATCCTATGGTCAAAACCACATGGAGCCTGAAACCATGGCGACGTCGTCTCAAATGTATATATGGACATACAGGGTAGATCTAGCAGAATGCACGACAGTTTAGAAGAGCAGAAATCAAGATTTAAACACCTTCGTTTTATTCAGAGCTTGCCATCACACTTGCACCTGCTAACAGTCTTCATCACACAAATCATGCAGCAGAGGAAAAAAAAAAACAAACCAAACAATTTCTCAGAGGGAGTAACAAAAGTGAAAACAACCACACGTGATGACCACAGAGTCCCTGTGGAGAGATCAAATCCAATCATTCCAAAGTATTCGTCCAACTACAAGTAAACTGACATTCTCCGCGAGTCCTTTATTTTCTGTACAAGAGAGAGAGATGAGAAGAAACTGGCAGGCAATGACAAGATGTGAACCTCAGCGCGACGACGAAGACGACGAGCGCGAGCTGCGAGATCCACGTCTACGCCTCGGATCGCGGGGGAGGGGACTCCGGGAGCGACTCCTCACCGGTCTCCTACGAGGCGGTGGGCTGCGCCGCGGGGAGCGGGACCGGGACCGTCGCACGGGACTGAATCGACGGAACCTAGCAAGAAAGGAATTCCGTGAAATACATTCCCTCGCTTTTACGTTGAAGAAGTTTTACTTCCTCACAACGAAACGGAACATGGGAAATGAAAGTGATAAAAGTAAAAAAAATGTTTTAATCTATTATGCAAACTTCCCAGTCACTATATGAGCAGACGTTCCTTTACAATCATACTCATAGGTTCATAATTTACTATTATAAAAACTTGTTTCTCCTCTCCAATAAAATTTGGACTGCTGCACCTTGGAAGTTCCCAAGTATCAATTCATAAGCTACAAACGGGACATTATAAAACCTTAGACTGTATAGATACGCTACCTTGGGGGAGACCTGCGTCTTTGGGGTGGAGGAAATCTGCGAGGAGGGCTCCTTCTAGGCAAGGGAGGTCTGGGAAGCCTTGGAAGAAGCACTGGAGCACAAGTGATCTCCTGACCGTCGATCTGACCTGTCACCAATAAAGGAAAAATGGATCAATCAACAATCAAGTAACAATCACACATCTAGAGGATGCAGGCCAGGAGGATGCATGGGAGTTCAGCCCTTTCCAACTCAATGATTCCATTTGGATTCCCTTCTTTCATTTTTTTTTCACCACTCCAAGCACATAATTTTCAATTGAAATCACAAAAGTTCCCGATCTCAAGAGCACTTTTGTCATGGAGTTAGTACAAATGCACGTCACTTTGACTGCTCTTGTCATCTGCACAAAGGACTTCTAAGCTCTTAACTTCAACAATTACTGCTGTTCATAGGTTAGGTATATTTAACTTCTGCGAAGAAAATTAATTAAAAATTATGCAAGAAAATTCTCAGCTAAAAAAATGTATATATATTAAATTCTGAAAATACAAAATTTGAATGTTGATTTTACTGCATTTATTACATTATGAAATTCTGTAATTGTGATTCCATTACTGCAAATTCCATATTAACTCACTCGCCACTCAAGTCATGGTCATACAGGAAATATTAAAGATTAGTGGACAACATTGACCTAGATTTAAGGTTGTTCTATTTTCTATTGAAGAAAATGAAACTCCTGGTTTGAAAGGGCTTGAAAGTAATTAATACATGTAGAAGGAAAGCAATATCTACAAATAAAAATTGTGATACCTATTTATTGCAGAGGACTTCAAGGTATGGTAATGGAGTAAATTACTAGCAAGAACAAAGTCAACTTGACAATTTTCAGGCTTATCACTCAAGGTTTTTTCTCCACAAACACCCATGCAAAGAATGTCATAAGCAATTATCAGTCTCCCCTAAAATGCCATTAGAACTTCTTGAGCTCATTAGAACTCTTCACAATTAATATACCCTTTTCTCATGCCAGTTCTTCTGTATAAAGATTGCACCCACATAAGCAAATGTCAGTTTTTTAATTCATTCTATAACAGTTTCAAAGGGAGAAGTACCATATGCTAGATCAGTCAAAATTATGAAATCAACTTAAATAGCAAAGCCATTCGTCAGGAGACAATCTCAGACTTCCTCACCTCCATCCATGTGCTTCATAGCATCCTCAGCCTCATCAGCATTACTGAATTCCACATATGCATAGCCACGAGATAGATGTGGCTGGAACCGCTCGGTCGGCATGTCCACGTTCTTCACGACTCCGTACGAGGCGAATATCTCCATGACGTGATCCTTGGACACATTCCGTGTCAGTCGCCCCACGTGGATCTTTGTCGGCCGGGGTGTCGGGGAGCGCTTCCTCCTCTTGGGCGAGGCAGACCTTTCAAAATGAGCCATCAATCATGAACACATAGGTTTTAAAAATGATTCAGTAATCAAGCCTCTTTATATACTGTGTCTCACCTGCTTCTTCTGACGTCCTTCTTCACTACTGGAGGCACGTCATTCACCTTCTCCTTAGGCTCCTTCTTGTCCTCCTTGGGCTTGACTTTGACAAGGTTTTCTTTGTCACTACCACTGCAATCAGGAAACTCATGGATTTCAGCTTCTTCAAGTTCTTTGAAAGTAATCACACCTTTTGAATCTCCTAATTATAGCTACCATCACAAGACTGAATTTCTTCCATTTGCTAATGAATGAAATGGGATAGAGATGTTATGAAGTCATAAAAGTAATATCATAAACCATGTCCATATACATTACTTTTAATGGTGAAGGAAATCTCTGGGGTTCCATCTTCATCCCATTTTTACCTATATGGCCATGTAATAGCTTCGAATGATTTCAGTTCCATGAGGGATATAAAAATGAGAAAATTATGGGGCTGAGGACCCAAAGTAACTTATGAAATTAGAATGATCAAGTAAGGTGCATTTCTGAAGCAAGCAGCTTTGTCTCTACAAGTGCTGAGGGATTTGCAAAAGAGGGTTCTCACATGCCTGAGAGATAACTTCTAATGAAAATCCTCACCATAACAAAATGCCAAAGAGTTGGACTACATTTGATTAATCACAATTCCTATAACACAACAGGATCCTGAAACATCATTTATTAAAATCTAAAAATGTCTCAATGTTCTAGAAACACTAGGCCAATACAGGCTACAGGCGACCAAAACAAATGAGGTAATGACATGTATTACATTTCCAAGAAGACACTATCAAGATTAAAGCATTGATCAGCAGTACAGAACCAAAATCAGAGAATTGATGAAAAAAATTTTTTAAAAGTCTTTAAAAAAGTTTTCTTTTTAAGTATCCTTTTAACATGCATGAATGTCAACCTGAGATAGATGCAGCAGACATGATATTTTCTGGTATCCAGTGGCTATATTTCTCATCAAACCATTTTGTCATGGAAGAGCAGCTGGACATCTAAGGATCACATGGAATCATGGCCAGTACAAATCAAAATGAAAATTTAACTTATAGGCTTTTGATAGTTCAAGTAAAGGTGTTGCATGTTTCTAATATCTTAAATGCATGGATGTTTTGGGAAACGAACCGAGTCAATGAGTCTGATCCTCACCTTCTCTTGTGTCTGGGAGCAGGAGAAGCAGAAGAGGAGTGTGAAGAGGAGGATGAGCTAGACGAGGACCGTGAATACGATGCAGAAGTGCCGCTGCTAGAGCCGGAGCTGCTGCGGCTCGAACTCCCCGAGGAGCTGCCGGGGAAAGGTGAAATCATCTCCATTTACACCATCATCATCTCCCTTTAGTTTACTGGCCCTATTACAATCACTTCACAATCTACAGGATGAGACATCGGCATAAATTTCCACTTAATGCTGTCCATGTTCCCCCACGAACTTCCCCCGTGTTCAATTATTGCAGACCAAGTAGAAACAGTGATGATTTTCTACTTTCACACTTTGAAATATTTTAAATATATAAGTATATGGGTCAAACTGAAAACCTGGAGAAAAAAATAATAGAAGGGAGGATCACGAACAAATCTGTTCACCTCTTCCCTGACGTCGAAGATGACGATCCCGACGAGGATGAAGATGCCGATCTCTTCCGTCCTCTTTGTTTCAAAGCCTTTGCTGGCTTCTTCTTTTCATCTTCTGATGAATCACTTGAGCTTTTGTCCTCTGGCAGCTTTGCTTGCTTTGCCCTGTAATGAAGAAAATGGCTTTTCAGCATCAATAGAACACTTGAGGCCCCCACGTCCCACAGGTACGCTCTAACAAATCGTCAGAAAAGGCAGCATTCAGAGTATATAGGAGAAAAAAAGAGAAACTTCCAAAGATTGAAGGCCTTCTGATGGTCTGAAGATGCACCTCATTGAAGCCTAGTTCTTATTGCTAATATTGGACAATTACATTTGCTGCTCTACTTCTTGATATCCTAAGAAAACTTACAACCCACAAACGAAAAGCCGTGTGTCTCACTTTAAAGTAAATTAAAACATTACATGGAATAAAGTAGGTCCTGGAAGTGAAGCCTGTCAGTCTGATATGGGCAAGTGCGACTCTTTACATTCGTGGATTTATAGTTGACAAATTCATGGGCTGATTCGATTCTAGGACAACATAGGCCCAGTGGAAATCCAGGTGAATCGAACATCAATCGGAAAGGAAGTTTCAACTTTGACGGTCTACACTTAGCAGAAGACGTTCTTGACGTCACATTCACTGGTAATAGCAGCATGTCCTGTCATACGTTGGTGTACAAACACCAAGAGGAAAATAGCATTATTTCCAAAGATGAATTTTTGCTGAGGTCACCCCAGGAAAAGTGACAATGAAAGGGTTCCAGCTAGCGGTGTAGTGTCGCGGGGGAGGGGGGATACGTCGACCCCAGTCACTTTTCTAGAAAAGAAGCCAATACACCCGGAAATGCAGGATAACAGTATCTCAGAGTTTCTGAGCCACCCGTCCCCCCCCCCCCCCCCACACTTTTTCCACCCACGTTACACTTACGGTTCCTGCCAAGCCTTTATGCCTGAGCATAAAGGCTTTATGTCTACGTACGCTTCCAGAATTTACGTCACCGCCATGTTTTAAAAAAATCCATGCCAGGCTCAAATTGTGCAGCTTAAATAAAAATGCTACTGATACGGAGTGTGCAGTGTCTTCTCGCTGGACAAATTCCCATCAGATGGCAACTGATATACTGCAGGACTGTCGAAAAAACTAGGTCGTTGAAAGGTTGCAGTGGTTTCAACGGAAAAGGCCGGAGGGTAAAAGACATCAGTCCCATTGCAAACAAGAAAAAGGGAGACAAACCCAATTCCTCTGAAAGAAACCCTAAGGGAATAATGGAATCCTGATAGATGATGTCTGTCGCGTGCGCAACACCGTGAGACCCCCCCGACATCCAGGGCCGCCTCCACCATCATTCCTCTCCATATAAATAAATTAATGTTTTCCCCTCTAGACACTAGCATTTCCCGGAATTCCCCCTGCTGACGGATACCACTCCTGGATGTGGCAAACCGGATTGAGCTGTTAGGGTAAGAGGGTTTCCATTAATGAAATGAGTTATCTGCGCACGTGTCCCCTTTGTCCTCTCGACTTCCTCTCTTGGTGATTTCTCGGGAAAAGGTGTGCTGTGGATACGATCTCAAAATGGAGATGGAGACAGAGACGGACTAGACGGCTAGCCACGGAAGCTAAAAAAAATTTCAGACGACCAGGCGTGAAAGAAAAGAGGAAAACTGATTGGATGGACGCACACCCTGATCCGTCTGGAAAAAAAAAGAAAAGAAACAACTATTCAGGCATCTGCCAATTTCATTTCTGGGCCTGCTTTCACGCTGCTCCAAGACGAACCCATTTACACATGGACGCATCGATGCATAAAGCCCGCTCAGGAAAGCATAACTTTTCGTTACTCCAGTAAAAACTCGTTAACTGGAATCCTGATGAGTCGAAATTCCGTTCATCTTGAAGTTCAATGCTTCGTCCCGGCTGAATCCCGTAAGACACCATGTTAAGTATTCCGTTTCACTCGAATTTCCGGATCGACATCTTCACTCTCGATTACGATTTTCTCATGGTTAGCTGGAAATCGGGGTGAGAAGGGGGAAAAATGACCATGGGACCTATCGATTTCTTGAATAGTTGAAAGGCAAGAAACCTGTTCCGGAGGAAAATCCATTAGTTTTTTTTTTCTGCTTCTCCCTCCTCCCTCTCAGACGCCCGGAGAGGATTAAACCTGAGGATTAAAACCGAAAAGCTTCTGCCATAAAAAAGAAGCAACCTCCAGCACTTCCCCTGACTGTCTATCGCTCCTACTTCCGGCCATTCCAGTTTTATTTCATTTCCTGGAGTTCCGAATGAATTTTACTTATGGAGTATCAAAGTTTCCTTGAAAATGAATAAGCGCCAATTATAATGGGAAGGTCGTCACTCCCAGAAAAGTCATTCTTAATGACGGAAAAATCACCCTATTATATCCCTCAACATGAATACCTTTTTTAAATTAAGGGTAGAGGCAATCCCTTATAAGTCGAACTTCAGATAAATCAAAACGATTTGCCCGGTCCCAAAGAGTTCGAATGAAGAGTTTTAACTGTACTTTGGAGATTAAAATATTCTGGGGGAAAAGTTTGTTTCTATGTAAATTTCTTAGCATAATTCTAAAGTGCATATATGATCAAGTTGGAAAAGAACAAAAGACCAGTGGGGACCAGTTCCTTTGTGGATTGATACATATGGAATCCACCCATTCAAGGAAAATTTCGCAGCCAGAACTATGCAGTAAGAAGTACTCCCTTCACTAATTGAGGTAAGGAAAATATGATTATAGGGCAGATAATCTTATTCTAGAGACAACAAAAAAATTATCAGGGTACTACACTGACGCAGGAGGAGCAAGGCATCCATGTCTCATTTCTCGTTAGATCACTATGGAGATATTAATTATTTCAAGCTCCAAAGTTATGGTCACTTGTGCAGAGTAAGTTGATTATCTTGCATGAATGATGCAACAGGTTTCCTTAGTGAGGACATCAAGGCTGCACCATGCCACTTATGGTGACAAAAGGCAACACCATGAACAGGTAACAAGAACACATAATTTATCCCCTTGAAAATTGGGAGACAAGAATCACAGTGAATATTCTACCATTAAAACACATGGTCCTCAATTATGCATGGGTGCCATGACAGAATGTTTCTCCATATTCTAGTGTGTTATTAAAATAATGATTAAAATTATAACCCATAAAGGCCTAACAAATTATTGAGGAAAATGAGGAAATAGTTACAAATAGATGCGATAAAATTGTGTAACTTGAGTATTGCTTTCTTCCATTCCTGCAGGCCTACCTCCAACTGCTGGGTGTCACAATAAGACAGGATCTGACAATAGCCTCATGCATTTTTTACCTTGGCATTCATCAACCCATGTTCAAGAATTCTTACAACTGAATGTGGTTTATTCCCTTATGCATTAGTCCACCAGACCAACAAACAGATTCTCAAACCTTACATTTGGAAGTTCTATTATTTATTATTTGAAAGGCTTCCTCTTAATATAAAACTACCATATGCATACAGGGCAAATTCCAAAATGATTAGACTTAAAGGGGTCCTGCTCCAGCAGGGGTTATTTTTAAATCAGACCCAGCCATAGGTTGGCTTCATAAATTCTTGAAACTAAGCTAAAGTAAAATTAGAAGAAATGTAAAGGGTGGGGACAGTAATGAAACTCACAATGTTCAGTAATACCAATCAAATCAACAGCTATTGAGCTACTAGCTCTAACTTTTAAAGAATACATGAAGCAGGGAAATGAAGAAATAGTAACTAGACCACACTTGAAATAAATGAATACTGGGTAGTCCTGGATATAACCAATACATTATTACAATTAAGGCCATCTGATTATTGCAATACTGCAATATTGTTCAATGTTATTCCAAGCAGCAATGTCTGGATGTCAATTTTTTCTGCGTTTTACTACCCCTTCCTGAATACTCCAGTAAACAGAGGGCAAACTGGAGAAGGAAAAGTTGTAAGATTGATACAGTTAAGTTCAACCTAGAAGCTTTCATCACCATATGCCATTTCTCTGAATTGAGGAGTTCTCTGGAAAAGTGGCATATGTGCCCATATGCCCTTTTTCCATATCCATGTGCATGTGCTGCTTTAGGTGACTAGTTATAGGAAAGGGTGGTTGGCTTGCAGTTAAGATGTGTATTCAGCAAAAGAGAAGTAGATTTTCCTATGCTTTCACTATATAGCAGACCAACTGCCTGGCAATTTAAATATGGCTGCCTCCATGAATATTCCTTTAGCACTTGCATGCTGAACTATTTCAGTGGAATTATTTCGTCCTTTTCAATTGAAAGTTAAAATGAGGAAGAAACCAGACATGAGGAAAGGGAAAGAAAGAGGCCCAGTCACACAAGCTACTGGAAGGATGTGAGCAGTTGGAGATATACATGAAATAGTTAAAGATTCAGATGATGAATACATTAATAATGGATCACTGCTGAGTAATTGGTGAATGAAACATGTCCCAAATATTCACATTTTCATTGCCATTTTTCAAGAAAGAGTTTATTTAAAATCTGTATGTGCATTTATTGATTATTATTTTTAACTAGAAAGAAGTGGTGAAAGACTCATTGGAAAAAGTTTCACCAGTGCTGATATGGAAAAAGGGTATATGTGTGTAAACACTTTCTGCCTGCATCCCAGCAATGTGAGATAAAGAATTTCATTTAAACCCCAAGTTCAATTAGAAAAAGGTCTAAGATACCCTTTTATTGATAATTAAGTTTTGACCAGCTTCAGATTAGCTATGGGAAGTTTTTATTGTTTATCTTGAATTGTATCTTTTGCACATATGCCCTTTTTCTAGAGAACTACTCCTTAATGACTAGGCCTACATAGAGAAGCATGACCAACAACCTAAATGAGGAAGGCTTTATTGGAGTGTCACCCAAGCCATTAGACATAGAGAGCACAGAAATGAGATGACAGGCAACACGTTGCTTATGCAAGGCTTGAATACCAAAGAAAAATGGGGCAGGTATCACCATACTTCAATGGCATTATACTTAGATTTCATTAAGAGTCTCGATGTCCATAGCTCTTTTTTCTCAGGAAATGAATAAAATCATTCAGCAGTGTTTCATATGTCAGGGCTAAGCTGTCTTGGCCCTGCCATAAGAGATGAACTGCAGCTCACCTGAATCATAACGTCTCTTGTTGACTAGGCCTACATTCATTAGAAGGCTTAGCCTCTAAGTTGTGGTTAAGCTAGTTTTCTAAAATGTAAGAGAATGTCCAAGATTAGGCCCAAAAGTCATAAAAGCGGTTGCATATTCCT